GCTGGACTCGAACCGCTGAAGCGTCGACCATTTCTGGCCGGCAACTTTCAGCATCATTAAGCCACTGCGCCACCGCATCCCCTTCAAGGCATTAGTATAAACACTCAAAATGGATACACTAAAAGCCTATAATCCAGGCGCTACTGGCAGGCTTTGATTTTCAAAACATTTAGCAAAGTTTTCTCTGATTAAGCATCTTCAAAAAAAAATTTCTAAGACTTATTTGCATTTTGTTCCAAAGTCAATTGGATCTGCTTTATTAAATGTATGGCCCTCTGACATATTTTCCAAAGAACATATTTCAAGAATAACTTGAGAAAGTTTATATTTCAATAAATATGGTAAGGTTGGTCTTAACAAAGAGCTGTGGTGCTTGCTTTGTTAAAAGCTAGCTAGGATCTACTCACTCAGGGATTGGTGGTCATTCTCAGTCCTGCAAATTTAATCATGGGTGCACTTGATGACTTCTGAGTGGGCAAAGGTGTGCCAGAACAGTGATGGAGTTCAGCAGTGAACATGCAAATCGGATTCTTCTTGATGGGTTGACAGGAAGCTTCAGCTCAAAATGCAGATGGGGCTTAAAAAAGCACAAATTAGAAGTCAAATGTTACCCAAAGAGAAGCTGAGAGAGAATGTGGATGGAAGAGGAATGAAGAAACAAAGTGTTAAGAACAAAATCTTGGATTTAAAAGTAATAAGTAGCTTTCTTAAAATGGATGCAAATTAACCTTGAAGAATGGGTAGTTTTACCACTTGTTTAATATGCAGATTTCTATTATTTTCCTGTGTGGCAGACTGCTCCCTCCCAGGTTCTGGCTACAACTTCATATCAAAAAGACAAGGGATAACTCCACATTGACCAAACTCTCTGCTCATGCAGGGATGGTACTTTTAAAAAAGGAATAACAAAACAAAACAAAAAAAGGATGTGCAATACATTTTCATTCAGGGCGTTTCATTTACTTCCACTTTGTTGACATGAAAAAAGCAATGCCCTCTCCATTCTGAACCATTTGGACCACAGTTCATCATTATGTGGTTGACACATTCATTCCATAATGGCTATTTTCTTAGCACCATAGGCATCCCTTAAACATGAGCATGAACCTGTTCAGAAAATAATTCTAGCATTTCCACTGTGACTCTTCCCCTATACAATCCTTTTCATTAGAAATCTGACATATTAGTGTCATTAGTTAGTTCATGGCTTTTCTATTGGTTAAGTATATTCTTCAAACCCAGGATGGCCACCATCTCTGGTTAGCATTAAAAGGAATTTGAAAGAAACAAATACTGTAACCATGATTTCAAATTGCAGTTAGGAATAGCTGAAAAGGGTAGCTATACTGGGTTTGGGATGGAGGTAAGTAGATAACACTAACTAGCCAGATTAGTTTGACATATTCTACAAATTCTGCTGGACTCACCATCTTGATACTTAAATCATATTAGTATGTGTGAACCTGATGGAAGTTTGTGAAATGGGCACATGCACTCGTCTATGCAAGAATTCCAAGTTAGATTTAATTTCTAGCAAACCTGAACCGTAGGAGTCAGGCAGCGCTATATAAAGAAATACTCAGTGGTTTATTGTGATTTGCACCAAAGGCCAGCTATTAGAAACAGCTGGGCTTTATGGAATCCTAATCACGGTTACTCAAAAGTCAAACCTACGGAACGGGAGTTTATTCCTAAACAAGATTTACAGACGGAGGGATCTAAACGGTCACACAAAGGGTAATGGTACGTTTTTCTCGACGCAACCCGAAATAAGCGGCCGCAGATGCTCAGACTTAATCCACGGTACCGCCGACCGGCGGAAGATATTGTCGCTGCAACGCTAATAGAGGAGGCTATATTCGTAGAGATAGAAACGAGTTAGAAATACCTACCTTCTGTCATTTGACTAATGATCCGTTGAATTCGTTTTCATCTTCCGAAGCAAATTAAGTTCTTTAAATCTTAGATGTATAGCAACATCGTCCTGCATCCATAACGTTGCCTGGGTGGTGTTCTCCATATTTTTATCCAACATGCAGGCGATGCGTTCCTTCCCACTTTTTTCTCTTTGTATCTCTACAGCCGTCCTCCCGTTGGCTTCAGCGCTCACGTGCCCGGGACGAGTGGGGGATCTTCGCGGATCCGGCGTCGCGTGAGCAAGGGACGGGGGAGGCTGGGCGGGGATCCTGCCTAGGGCTCGCAGCACCGTGAGGGCGGAGGGAGGACGGAGAAGAGAACTTTGCAGGGAAGCAGTAAGAGAAGGAGAAATCAGGGTAGGGCTGTAGCGTACGCAATTTCTTGGCTGACAGCTAAGGAAGTCTGAGGCGGAGTTCACGTGTTGCACAAAACCATGGTGTCTTGCTTAAGCCACAGTTAGGGGCTTTCCAATACCAGGTCATAATGAGTGATTTGCAAACTACATTAGGGGCTAGCGCAACGCACTAAGCCAGACAAAGCTCATTTAATTCCGCCTTAGAGTAGAAGTCTGAAGATATCTTGACTCCCCTTAATCAATTCGGCTCTTCTGTGTTTCAGGACTAGCTATCGGTGACGCTTTCTCCTTCCGGAGAGGCGCACCAGGCGGACCTATTTTATTATACTGTACGTACTTTCAGTGCTAAGCACGTACGCTTTTATTCTTCAAGGCCTTTTAATATAATAATACATTGACTTTTAAAAATTGTATGCCACTATGGGCTTTTACACTAACCTGCTTCTGCTTTCAGCGCTTTTGTTGTTACATGCATTGTATTTTTAATTACTGTTTCAGTTTTTAAAAAGACTAAGTTACAATTTTGAGTGCTCTCCGGTCAGAGCAAAAGCTTTGTTTTGAAAGGCATAATACAATTCTTAAAATCTATAGATTTGATTGTGTGCAAAATCACACTAGGTTTTTCTTTTGAAGTGTAAATCTTACTAAGAATCTCAATGTTATTAACTGCCTGCTCTGAGAATTTATGTTCCGGCCCCAGGGCTAGGAATCCCAGATTTGTCTGATTTCTTTGTAATATTGATGCATAAAGGTAGACAAGTATTATGGTTCTTCTAGAATACTGTATACTTGGTATGCTTTATTTTCTCCCTTTCGGATCAGTAACTAGCAATTAAAATTGATTGAATGACCAAAAAACATCATCTCAAATAAGCAGGTCTATAAGAGTTGGGTTAGGAAGAATTTTACCAGTTGCAGCTTCTTCTGTCATTGGAGCATGGCCAGGTAGAAAAGCTGGCTGCCCCTTTCTAGTAGATCAAAAGCTGTGAGAAGAATTGATAGCTGGCATTTGCATTGCACGCTTATCTGTGGTTAACCAAACCATAACTAACTCAACTTTCCAAATGTTCTAGGTTCCTCTGACACATCAAAACATAAAAGTAGTCACATGGGCTGGGTTCACCCATAACATTAGGTACAATATTAATTTGTGGCCCAGGGTGTCATGGAGGATGTAGCTGTAGATTGCTCATGCGTGCCACAGGATTCCCCCTTGCTTTCCATCCGTTGTATTACCTAGATGGAAGTGCTGGATAAGCCAAGACAACCTTGCATGCTTTCTCTCTTTTCCATCTTCTTATTCTAGGGAAGAAGTGGAGATTCTAAGCCAGCGCCAGTTGTGGAATGGTTGGAAGAAAGGAGGTGGGAATGTAGCTCTGCAGGTCAAGGTTCAGACATATCTATCCCTGTTTGGCAGAGTTTAGAATAGAGTCATCCACCCTTTGAAGGAACAGGCATGCACTGTTTTGAGCGTTCCTGGAAATCCAGTGGCAACGGGGACCAGGAGCACTTTCTCTGACTCTGGCTGGTTTGCTAGCTGTGATTTTTCACTCTGATTTTTCACTAGTTGCATCCTACTATATTGCCACAGTGTTTTCTGTTGTTGGCCCCACACATTTTCATGAAGTTAAAACATGGTTTGTTTATAGTGTTGGGTTAATGTGTTATGTGAATTCACGCAACTGTGAGTTACTCAGTTAACACATAGTAAAATGTGTGTGAACCTGTCTTTTAAAGATGTCACGTGAGTTATAAATAGTTAAATGTGAGATTGTCAAAATGATGATTGGAGTTTGGAGATTATTATGAGCTGATACTACATTAATCAGTTGCCCATCTGTTTCTGGGCTCTTATGTTGTTACATACACATCCAGCCTAAAGCTGTTTCTGTTCTATGATGAAAGGATTAGGAGTAGGTCTGAGGAGCACAGACTCTTCATTGTGGCACGGAAACTTGGCAGTGCCTTTCCAGGGGATGTCTTCTGGGCTTTCCTTCTTCTAATTAATTTTGAAAACTCATTCAGCGGCACTGAATATTTAATTACCTATAATTATAGGACAGATTTTGCTATCTTGTAATTTGGGTGAAATTGGATGATACAGCTCTACTTTGTAATGAGGGGTTGGAAAATTTAAATGTTTTTCATACCATTTTATAATAAATTGCTTTGTAATAAAGTAGGCCCTTTAAATAAGTTTAACAGTCTGTGAGTCAATAATAATAATGGCTAGGTCTCACGTTTTGAAGAACAAGGGATAAAATATCCTCAGCCTTCTTCCCCATTCTGTTTTTTTTTTTTAACTAGCTCTTCTAAGCATGTTTATCCATGCTGAGTATCAATCTCGTTCTTTGGCTGAAATTGATAAATTCATATCAGTAAAGATACATATATGGGGAACTGAATGACAGTGCTACATTAGGGAGAAGTTTGAGCCTTCTGCACAAAAACGAAAGTCATTGTTCGACTGAGTTTCCTCATTCTGCTCTATGACCTTAGAACAATAGAGATGCAAAGGGCCATCCGGTTAAATCCTCAGTGGGGGATTGCAGCCGGTACTGCTCAGTAAGACCTGACCCTCACGATACCTGACATCCCAGGGCTTTTGCGTATTCAGTGCTGAGGCATGGAGTGAGAGACTTTCTTGATAAATGTTCTATTCTGTGCAGCATTTAAAAATAAAGGATCCTCTGGGTTTGATGACTCCGTGAAATGCACGGTATCTTTGCTTGACGCAATAGCGGTGCTTTCACTGTCACACACGGAAGAAGAGCAGACCGTATACCGATGGGGTGGCCGGGCTGGCATCTCATGCTGAGTCAGGATTTCCAGAATAAACCCAAGTGGGCTGGGTCCACACAATAGCCTTAAGCCAGAACCAAGCACACCTCTCTGTAGCTCAGTGTGATGTCAAAACCCAATATTTCTGGGTAGCAGAGCAATTAATTGGTTTCAGGAAGGAGTGAACCAGAGTTTTCTAAGATGAGCCGTATTTGTAATGGAGGAAAAAGTCTCTCTCCTTTGAAACAGCATTACTAACACCATACTTTACATAAACTGCAGACTGATGCCTAGCACAAATATTCATTATCTGAAGTGTTCAGCGTGTGAGCAGTCTGGATTGCACACTTGATGTTCCTGTAATGACACTGGATGCTGCCAGCACTTGTGCATCTAGCGTGAAGATCTGCAGCAGTGAAAACTTTACATAAATGATGTGAGATTGGCATCTCTGTGAATCAGGACACCGGATTGTCCTATGAAAACCGACCTTTATTCTGAGTAGGCGTGTGTCTACAGCAAACTATGTAATTTGATTAACGGGGACAAAGGATTGGTCAGGATTTCATCTTTTCTTAAGCGTGTCCAATAATAAAGGCCTGAATGGGGTTTCTGAAGAAGTTGACTGTGAGAGCTGCATGCAAAGCATTTACCATGAGCAATGGGTTGGGCTGGATGGCCTGATAGTTATTTCTGCCTCTTCAAATCTCAAATGCTGTTCCTGTGTGGTATTCAGGGAGACTGTTTCTCTGTTCATCGGTTGCTATTACAATCAATAGCATTTTTTATTTCCACTGGTATTGGAGCAACTGTCAAATGGTTCCCTTTTTCTTTATATTTCTTTATTTGTATTTATTCTATGAGGCTTATGTGCCACTCCAGCCATCAACTGACTCTGAGTGACTTACGGTTCTACCTTGCATAAACAAGGCTAAAATAATTACATAATATATTCCTGTACAAACAAGAAATCATATCCCCGTAGAGGGTTCTTACACAGGAGAATTCCTCTCAAGTAATCTACCCCTCAAAGCCCTGTTAAAATAACTAGGTTTTAATTGCTTCCCATATCTCAATAATGTCAGGGCATGTCAAATCTCCAGGGAATACTTCTAGAGAAGTGGGCAGCAATCAAGAAAGCCCAACTCTGGGAAACTTGTAAATAACCTTCTTTAAGAGAGGGAGCCTCGAGGAGCCCACTCTTCCCAATATATTTGCTGGGAACAGGAGGTCCCATAGATATCCATGTCCTGGGCCGTGAAGGGCTTTAAAGATGACAACCGCAGCTTGAATTGTGCCCAGAGGCTAACTGGTACCCAGTTAGCAACTCTTGCAGTAGTGGTGTTACATGGGCATACCTAAAGGGTACCCATAACTGAGCTGCTGCATTCTGGACCACCTCAGCTTCTAAGTGGTTTTTAAGGGCAGCCCCATGTGGGGCATATAACAATGGTCCAAATATATATGTATGTACTTAATGATTTAATGTTCAGGTTTTTGACTGCATGATTAAATTAATACATTTTACATGCTTTGGAGTATGAAAACTAGTCAACAGCTGAACAACATCCACATCATGGGGGCACATATCAGTAAGCATATTTTGGACAACTGCCAGAAATTAATATCTTTAGAAGTGCTGTACATTTTTTATTTAGCCTGGTTTTCATCACTGGAGTAGAACTGAGAGTTCAGTTTTCAGTGTAAGTATTTCTATTATCTAAATATTATGAAATAATATTTCATTATTTCTAATGAAAGTGAACTAAAATTGAGTAGAATGACATGAAGGAGAGAATAAAACTCCTTCTTGTGAATGGGTTTCACATGGGAGATGACTGATTTTTCAATCCTGTATTTTTCTCTGGTTTGATAGGCAAAGAGATGGCTTTGGTTCCTTATGACAGCACAGCTATTTGGGGGATGCAGAAGTTACATAAATCTTCCTCTACATTCTGTTTTGCCAACCACACAATTCACATTAAGCAGAACTGGACACAGTTGGGTGTAGCTGCTGTGGTATGGGATGCGGTGCGTATAATTTGCATTGATTCATTTGTGGGGAGTTGTAGTAGTTCACTATGGAGGTCTGAAGAAGCTAGACAGGGCCCTTTAGCAATTGAACGAATGGGTTTCTGTCTTCTCTATAGCCTTAGTGTTTATTTCACTCAACAACAAAAGTGACAAAATTCTAAAATGATACATCCTATTTACTTATTTGATTGAGTGATTGATTGATTTCTACAGCCACCTGTTTCAACAAGTGACTCTGGGTGGCGACAAGTGACTTTAATTGAAGCATGGAGATGCTTTGGAGAACTTTTTCTCGTTTAGTCTTCCAACCCTCTGAGAGTCAAGCCAGGAGTCGATGCTTTCTAGGAAAGTGATGTCAGTTATACAGTGAAAGGAAGAGGCAACAGATTTGAACTGCCAGGGTTAGGAGAATTTAAGAGAGAATTTGCATTGAACTCCCACGACAGATGGCAATCATCTGCTTTATATGGCTTCATCCTAGTAGGCAGTAAAAATTGTTATCTAACCATATAATATTTCATGTCTGAGAGCCTCTGGCTGAGTGGCTTATCCAAATTTTTGCCAAGATTTTGGTAGGGAACTTGACATTCTCCAAATTCGTTAGATTACAACTCCCATCTTGTCCAAAAAAAGGGGGGGGGACATCAGAATGAGGAAGGCTAGTGTAGATTTTCCATTCCTTTCTACCATGATTATCTCTTGTTCCTTTACATCCCACCCAAAATTTCCAGTGGCAGCATTTTTTGACAGGATGGTAAAGTAATCCTGCATATATCCAGAATACTGTGAACCACTTCCAGTTCTGGAAAATCTACTTCTGGAAAGCTACTGAAACACTCTAGGAATGACTGGAATCTGCAAAATGGAAAGTTCTGAAAAATACAAGTATGTTCTATTCATGGAACAGTAGATTTTGCACTTTCCTAATTGTTATTTCTATTGTTCTTTCCTCACTGGGAATTGATGTTTAAATTAAAAAGTCTTTCTGTAACCCAGAGCTGAATCTGTTTTTGTTTCACTTTCAGCCAGCAGTCGCCAATAACCGATAACAACAGCAGACCCCATAGCTACTCCCAGTTATCACCCTTCAGAATCCCTCTCCTGTTAGTCTGGCATAGAGAGAGAATCTTAACTCCTTAATGATATTTAACCACTACCATATCACTGATGGTGAAACAATGTTTAGGCAAAGAAACGTAGGCTGGGATTAATGTAGCTATTGATCTCCTTAAAGTTATTTTAATTGTGATGATACAAAACATGGATCTCAATAAATACTGTAGCTTGCAAGCTACTGTTAGTTCACCTTGTGGTGGCTTGTAGTTCATTGGGGTGTTTCTTTCACCATTCTTAGTTTGTCATTTGCTTAATTTGTCACATTAAGTTGTGACAGCTGTAATCCCTAGCATTGAAGATACTTGGCTTAAGAAGTCTTAAAGGTTTCCATTGCTTCAAAAATAGCTCTCCAAAGGTTGGGGACAAAAATTGACAGTATATATTTACTAGTATTTCTGTGCTATCCTAGGGGCTTATTTCCTGCAAATGGATTTAGGATTGCAGCTTCATTGAATACTTGCTGCCTTGCTAAAATGGTTTATGTGGCTAAGAGAGAAAGCGATAAGACCTGGTATTGGTGTTCTCGGAGCACTGAATTGTTTGGTCTTCAAAGATATTCATTTAGAAAGAGATTAGATAGTACTGTACACTGAGGTTAAATTTTGGTCACTTTGGACATGTTTAAAGATATTTCTTATTATACAGCAGTACAATTTTTGTATAGATTCACCCTTTCCTGAAGAAAACTTGCTTGAATAAAGTAACCTTCCAACATACGCTTGGAATGCTCCAACAATGCTCAGTCAAAGTGCAATGTCGAAGTCAGGCTCATTTGCACTTCTTGCTTGTCCCAGTGCAAGGGCACACCACCTACTACTTCAGGAGGGCAAGAATAGATGACAGTGTCCTTAGCCCACCCCTTACCTGCTGGGAAAGTGACTTCTGCCTATGTTCTCAATTCTGTTGGGAATTTCCTAATTTTCACTCATAAAAGCTAGGTGTATACATTTGAAAGCTCCAAAATAAAGACTTTCACTTGCTTGCCTGAAAATGACATCTCGTCCTTAATCATTTTTACAAGCTTCTTATGTGGCTGATAGAAGAAATGCTATTGTCTGGCTTGATTTGAATTGGTATTCTTAATTTTTTTTCTCCTGACCTAGGCGGTAGTCTTGTGCACTTTCTTGGAGACGGGAGGTATTGATCTGCAAGGACGCATGGTGATTGAGTTAGGAGCTGGGACAGGCTTACTTGGAATTGTAGCTGTGCTACTTGGTAAGTTACTCTGGAAACTGGAGTCAGTGACGACTAGTAGTTCATTTTGGAATCTAACAGGGATCTCAAATTGTATGGTTTTCTTTTAGCATTACTAATATGGGAACAGAAAGGATATGATAGGCACGCTTTTCAGCTTTCCTAGAATACTGTTTAACTTTATCAGTCTTTCACTAGATTTATTCTAAGGATTTTCTTTACAGTCCTCACTTTTGCTTCATGTTTTTCTCCTCAGCTGTTGGAAACCCCTAATAATGAATGCTAGTTTTCAAATTAAAAAAAAAATCTCTTTGAGGGAGGTTGGAATAATTTAATATTTCACAACTTTGTCCCTGCCAGTTTAAAATGTATGCCTAGAACAATCTTCACCATCTGGTACCTTCCAGAAGTTTGGACTTTAATTCCCAGAATTTCAGAGCCAGCGTGACCATTGTTGAGAATTCTGGAAACCAAAGTCCCCACAACTGGATATTGCCCAGGGTGGGAAAGTTAATCAAGAGTAATTGCTCTATAGTTTAATACCATAGCAATATTAGCCTATTGGCTGAATTATACATACAGGTTTTCTTCCTGAAGGATACTGTATAATCATAAATTTTCCTTATGTTTTATGTAAGTGTACTAATTAATTAATTAGCACAGCAATCAAATGATACAAGGAGAGAAATTTACAGGGACTTCAGTTTTCTTTGAATATTAGATCATTTTTGTTCTGGATAGTTTGGGCTATATTAAATGTTATCCACATGAGCTTCATTTGTGCTTAGGAATTTCTCTTCTTTATTTCCTCTAAAATCTGCTCTGTAAGGACCTAATTCATTTAGTATTTAACTTTTGTTGTTTTTTTGGTCACTTTAGGTGCTCAAGTTACAATCACAGACCGAAAGCCAACATTGACTTTACTTCAGTCAAACGTGCAAGCTAATTTACCTGTCAACCTTCAGCCAAGAGCAGCAATAAAGGAACTTACCTGGGGACAAGATTTGGCAGACTTTCCTCCAGGAGGATATGACATTATCTTGGGTGCAGACATAGTTTATCTGGAAGAAACATTTGCAGATCTTCTTCAAACACTGGATTATCTCTGCTCTGATGAGACTGTGATCCTGTTGTCATGCCGCCTTCGCTATGAGCGGGACCAGACCTTCCTGAAGATGCTTAGAGAACTTTTTACAGTGCATGTAGTGTTCTATGACCCTGGTAATGATGTGCATATATTCAAAGCACAGAGGCATGTCCTGAAGGGAGATTTGTGATTGGTCTGATCATGAATTCTTGCCAGCTCATATTTCCAGCAGAACAGTAGATCACAACTACCATGTAATTTGGAAAAAAAATGTGACCATCACAATGGAAGTACTTTATGAGAATAAAGTAAAACTAATCTATTTTTGTTCCATATTTGGAGTTTCATTAGGTTGATGGTTTTCTACAAAGACTGCCTTCTTGATTTACTCATCATTAAAATAAGGAATTAATCAGGTGAGCCATCAAAGGATAGCAATCCCTCAATTTATTTTTGAAGAAATAACTGTGAAAAAATGGTATATGGTCACTGGATAAATGGGCTAATTGTCCATTCTTTCTCTCTGTTTCAGCCACCTGGCCAGTTATATAACTTCCTCAGTAAACTACAGGTGAAGGCCAAAGGGGACATACTTTTGAAGGAAGAAAAACGCTTCAGAAAAAGTGGTGGAGTAGAATTGGGGGCTTCCTTGGATGAGTGTCAAAGAAATATGGAGCTGGCTCTAATTCTTAATCCTTTTCACTCTGAGTAATACAAATTATGAGACTTCAGACTTTTTTTCTCACTTGCATAGACGAATGTATCTTAATGCCAAATACTTGGCATTATAGTGGCTTGGATAGAGAAAAAAAATTTCAATACAGCTGATAAACACTTCAAGCAACTTTTTAGACATCTTTTGAATCATGTTTGACTAAGATAAGTGGCACTGACAATCGAAGTATCTGGAATTCATCACAAAAAGTTTTCAAATGTTGTATACAGAAGGACCAAATAACTGAAGGGCTGAAATTTTCTTTTATACTGTTTTTTAATTCATATTTCAATAACTCGTGTTTCAAAGTTGTTTTTTTAATGAAATTTCACAGATTGTATCGGGAAGGTTTAGTTTTTCAGAGTATAGACAAGAAGCAGAAAGATAGGACCTGTGACGTGCAGCTTGCATAATTATAGCCATTTTTTAAAAGGGTCACTTTTCATATTATATAACTTCAAACATTTTCATCACCAGCTACACTTGTGGGAAAGCTGGGAACGGTTTCATTTTCATGGAGAGCATAAGGAACACGCTCGCAAGGATATGTTAGCTTGCTTGTGCTTCCAGTTGCTAGGCTCCTGCCTAAGGCTTCATAGTTTCCAGAGACTCTTTCAAAGTCTATTCTGGCTATGTTGCTCATTCCCACATGGATCAAAAGGAAGGGATAGTTGGCTGGTGTGGGTCTTCCGGGCTGTGTGGCCGTGTTCTTGAAGTTTTGTTTCCTAACGTTTCGCCAGCCCCTGTGACCGGCATCTTCAGAGTGCAGGAGCACAGACAGAGTGCAGGAGCACAGACAGA